TAACCGATGCATGGATAAACAAAATGCAGTACATATACAATGGAATATCACTCTGTCATGAAGAGAAATGAAGTTCTGACAGACATTACAGTATGGATGAACCTTGAAAACAGGAGAGATATTGCGTGATCCCACTATATATGAAATATCTAGACCAGGCAAATGTATAGAGAACCACGTTTATTAGTGAGTATCAGGGATGGGAGGCAGGGAAAAAGATTGAGTCTTAGGGAGCACTAAACATCTGTTAAGGTGAGAGAGAAATATTTGGAAATGGCTAGAGGTAAAGGTTGCAAAACACGATGAATGTAATTAATATCACTGAATTGGACAAGTCAAGCATGTTGAAATGGCAAGTATTTAGTTTTTTATGTAAAATGCTCTCAAGTCTTTACTCCCTTATACTCTAGAGTAAGGTTGATAGGTGGGATCTCTTTTCAACATTGAGAAAATTCTCATGTGTACTTTGCCTAGTTTTATTTTAAAATTTGACTTAAAATGTAATTCCATTCATGTGTCAGGCAATTCATTATTCTATTATTTTGATGGTGTGGTTTTTAAATTGTGATATGGAGCGAATTCAATAGGTAGAGGATTGTGAATCCCCTTGGCTAACTACTAGAACATAAGAAGGTCTGAAAAATGTGGACCCTAAATGTACCCACAGATGGTGGTAGGGTTTTGAGGCTTGTCTGGTAATCCTGGAATCAAGGGAAGCAAGAGTAGGTTAAGCACCCATGAAATAGGAATGAAAAAGAAGAAATAGCCTCAAGGAAGCGAAAATTTCAGGTAAGGTAAAATGAGATGTTAAGTGCTGTCAAGTCGCTTCTGACTCATAGGAACTCATAGGAACCCTGTATAGGGTTCCTGAGGATGTAAATCTTTGTAAGAGTATGAAGACTCACATTTTTCCTAAAGAGCAACTGGTGGATTTGACCTGCTGACACAGGTTTGCAGTCCTGTGTTTATCATACCGAGTCACCACACTCCCCAAGTGATGAAATAGAAGGGCTATTTACACAAAATGTAAGACAAAGTGAATGAAGCTTGTTCACAGGGGGATAGTGTACCATAGGGCATTTGGAAGTGGATAATGGAGGGGAGAAGGAGCTCTGGTAGCATAGTGGGTACGAACTGGGCTGTGAACTGCAAGGTCAGCGGTTCGAAACTACCAATTGTTCCATGGGAGAAAGATGAGGCTTTCTGCTCCTGTAAAGATTTACAGCCTCAGAAACCCTGTACAGGGTCGTTATGAGTCAGAACCGACTCCATGGCACACAACAACAACAATGAAGGGGAGGAGTCTGGGTGGTGTCAAAGATTAAAGCCCTCAGCAGCTAAGGGAGACTCAATCTGTTTCAGTCCACCCAGAGGCATCTCAGAAGAAAGACCTAGTGATCTGCTTCCCAAAATCAGCCATTGAAATCCTACAGAATACTCTAACAAAGAGTCATAATCAACTTATCAACAACTGGTTTGCTTTTTGGTTTCACAAACAGAATGAAGATGTGATGAGGAAGACGAGACTGTGTAGGAAGAGGGAGGCCTAAGCTGGAAGTACATGCGAGGGTTGAGTCTCACTCACTTTGTCTACCAGAAATACAGACACTTTTCATGGAGAATTCTTGATAAAGAAAGGCTTTTTGCTTTCTTCATAAACAGTGAATGACGTCTATTTAAAAACCTGTTATATCCTAAAAAAAGAAAAGGGGGAATCGGTAAATACTTAACCAGTATTTACTATCATTCCGTGATAGTACACGGAAGAGACTGTAGTCATTGCAATGAAACAAAAAATGATTTGAATGTAAAACTAATGACTTACCATGTAAACTTTCACTCAATTCACAATAAAAATAAAAAAAAATCTATTATGTCCTAACTTAATCAACATGGTTAAGTTCTGAATACCAGGTCATTACATGAAAAGCAGTTATATGAAAATGTAAGATGACCACATCAGTTCTCAAATAGGGGATGACTAAATCATACTCTAACTGCCAAATTACATCATTAAGCAACTGCCAAACCAGTGATAATCGTGATGAACCCAAGTTGAAACATAACATCACAGCTTGCATTTCTCACACTTGGCACATTGGTGTTTGTTATTGTCAGATGTACATCATTAATATAAAATAAATTTAAGCAGTTGATTTTTACTACTGTCATAAATGCAAATCATCAGATAACAAGATAGAAGATTTTGATTCATAACAAAATTCATAGTAGAACTGTGCCACAGGATTTCCAAGACCATTTATTTTTATAGGAGTAGACAATCCCATAGAGTGACAATAAGGATTGAACTACTTACTGCCTTTGAGGTTAGCAACCCGAAACTTAACCCATTGTGCCACCAAGACTCCATAAGTGAGGAGTAGGTTACGGAAAATATATATAAATGTGTATTCTTTAAGCTGAAAATTGTTATTGTTGTTGTTGTTATTGTTTGGTGCTGTTGAGTTGGTTCCCACCCATAGTGACCAATGAAACACCACCCAGTCATGTGCCACCCTCACAATTGCTGCTATGATTGAGTTCATTGTTGCTGCCACTGTGCCAATCTACCCCACTGGGGTTCTAACTCTTTTTCTGTGACCCTCCACTCTACCAAGCAAGATGTCCATCTCGATGGACTAGTCCCTCCTGATAGTATGTTCCAACTATGAGAGATGAAGTTTGGCCATTTTGGCTTCTAAGGAGCACTCTGTACTTCTTCCAACACAAATTTGTTTTTCTGGCAGTCCATGGTACCTTTAATATTCTTCTCCAACACCATAACTCAAATGCATCAATTCTTCTACTGTCTTCCTTATTCATTGACCAACTTTCATATGCATATGAGGTTACTGAAAATACCATGGCTTGAGTCAGGTGCATTTTAGTCCTCAAACTGACATCTTTGCTCTTGAACACTTTAAAGAGGTCTTGTGCAGCAGATATGCCTAATGCAGTAAGTCATTTGATTTCTTGACTGCTGTTCCAAGTGTGTCCAAGCAAACTGAAGTCTTTGACAACTTCAATCTTTTCTCCATCTAGGATAATGTTATTTATTGCTGCAGTGTTGATTTTTGTTTTCTTTACATTGAGGTACAACCCATACTGAAGGCTGTGATCTTTGATCTTAATCAGTAATTATTTTAAATTGAAAACACTACCTCTAAAAAAGTTTTCTCAGACCATTGGTTTTGCCAAAAATATTTCTTATAACAAAACAAATGCCAAATACTCAAGTGAAGAATGGAACATGTTTGAAACGAAGGTCTTTGCAGTCTCAAATCAAATGATATAAAGTAAAGTAATACATTCAATGTATTTATATTATATGTTAATTATTTCATTAATCAAAATGAGATTCCCACTAGTCCTTTTAGAAATATAGCTAATCCTAAAATTTTCAGTTTGAACAGTATTAAAAAAAACTATAAGTCAAAATATTTAATTACTAGATCAGAGATTTTTTTTTCAAAAAGCCCATGTTCATGAATACTATAAAAATTAAAAGTACTACGTCAAATTTATTATGATCTATGTCTATCATGTTGTTGTTGTTGTTAAGTGCAATTGAGTCAGCTCCAACCCACAGCAACCATGTATGTAGAAGGTATCTGAGGAGTGGCTAGTGAGTTTCAATCAGTGACCTTGTGGTTCAAGCAGACATTGAGGTCCAGTGCTTACTCCACAGTGCCACACCAAGGCTGTCTATATAGGAAACAGAACTGTTAAAATAATATTTAAATGAACTCAGCATCCAATTGGTTAACTAATTTATCCCTCTTCACATAGAATAAGTGTATATGTAAATAAGAAATGTTAATTGTTTATCTTTGTCAGAATGCACTAAATTATGTACTCTGATTCAACTCTAAGTTGGTTCAACTCATAGCAACCCAGAGTTTTGGTGTGACACTGTGAGTTAATGTGCTGGACTGCAAAGTCAGTTTGAACCACAAGGTCACCAGTTCAAGCTCACCAGCCACTTTTCAGAAACCCTATACAGGGTCACTATGGGTCAGAACTGACTCAGTTGCACTTAACAACAACACAGGTTTTCTGAGGAGCAGCTGGTGGGCTTGAACCACTGGCCTTGTGGTTCAAACCGATCTTGTGGTCCAGTGCTTACCCTACAGCTCCACAGTAGGACTCTGCATTCTATAATAATCACCAGCATTGGAGAATTCAAGGGACTAATCATTAATTTATTTTACTTACCATTGTTATATATCACTGAAAGTGAATTTAAGACTTTTTGGTACTCTGGAGATTACTTAAGAGTATAATCAGTTGCAGGAAGTAAAGAAAACAATGTCAAAGAAATTAAAATCTATACAGTGAGGAACAAAGATGAAAGTTAAATTGCAGTCAGTCAGAGTACAATTGACAACATACAAATTTACAATGCATTAAATAGATAATCTAGAAACATGTCCGACTATTGCATATGCAACACATACAGACGTATTAACATACAAACACTGTTCAGACACATATCCATATATAAATGAATCTGCATAGATATTTTCATTTCACCAAATTTCCTCACTTCCTAAGTACTGTTAGAGTTAGACTAAAAATAATAGGAATAACAAGAAACATTTGATAAGCAGACATTGGATAGAAGTTGTTTGGTGCTACTGAATCGGTTCTGACTCATAATGACCCTGTATAGGGTTTCTAAGGGGTGTCTGGTGAGTTTGAACAGCCAGCCTTGTAGTACAAACCAACCTTGCTGTCCAGGTCTTATCTTCCATTGAAAAGTAAGAAACGTTGGGTAAGTCACAAGTACCCCAAGATCCATGAAAATGCCACAGAATACTATCATATTTTTATATGTTGGAAAAAATCATATTTTCTTAAAGAATCTAAACAGAAGGAATAAAAGTATACTATAGCCCAGTTGACAAATTTAAAACTGAAGTAATCCATTCATGATTCAGGAGACGAAAGAAAGGATGAGACTGACCACTATATTTTCACAACTGCTAAACATCAAATACCTTTTGACTATATCTTCTCCATTCCAGCAGGGTAGTCCATCAGCAGCAGCTAATTCATTAACACAAATCTGATCTGCCAGGCCTCCATAGAACGTTCTGAACAGTCGAAGGCTGTTGATAAATTCTCTAAAGGGAAGAACAAAGAAAATAATTAAGACCAAAAATCAATAAGAGGTCTAATTAAAATGGTATATATATTGCAATGCATGATACCTAGAATACACCTATTTTTGCTTTCTGTATTTGTTTGGAAGTCCCTGGGTGGAGCACACCATTAACCATAACCTTGGAGTTTTGAGTCCTTCCAAAGGTACCCTGGAAGAAAAGCTTAACAACAGATTCTGAAAACTCAGCCAGTAAAAATCCTGTGGAGCGGCAGTTCTTTTCTTGTACACATGGGCTCACTTTGAGTCTCAATCAACATTGTGGCAACTGGTTAGGGTTTGGTAGTTGTTTTCTTTTCTTATGTAACAGTCAAGACAAAAATTATCTAAAATAAAGAAGAATGCAAGTACTCATCTTTATCCTTTAGAAACGTTTTCGCTGGGTTTGAATAAAGCTTACATTTCTCCAGATCCAAAAAGTTGTGAATGAACATATACTCACACACACTCTCTCTCTCTCTCTCTCTCTCTCTCACACACACACACACACACCCCTCTTTATTATCCTTCCCTAAAACACACTCACTAGCTTAGCTGCTGGCATCCGAAACACAGCAAAATGAATTACTTTTCTTTACATGTACAAAATGTCAGAGGTTTACAACATTCTAATTGATTGATCACTGATACAAAGTTGAATTGATGTGGGTCTGTTCTAATTTAGGTTTTCTCTATAGAGTCAAAGTACATAAAGTAGTATTTCTTTACATGAAATAACACTGTTTTTACTAAATTAAAATGACAAATATTTCAGAAACATGAACATAAAAGTTATTGTTGTTGTCATTGTCAGGTGTCATCAAGTTGGTTCTGACCCTTTGCACAACAGAATGAAGCACTATCCAGTCTTGGCCATCCTCTTGGTTCATCTGGCCCAGACCTGGGACTCTCCCACCTCTACAACTGTGTGAGCCTCTTCCTTGATATAAACTTCTCTTTATATACATATATTTACTGTTCCCTGGTTTTGCTTCTCCAGAGAACCCAGTGTACAGTTTCCTCTACTAGAAAATAAGTTTCTCCATGATGACTGTATGTTCCCACCAACAAGAATCTATGAACAAATACAAATGATCATGATGCAGCTACTGAAATAATTTAGGAAGTAAACCAGTTATTTCCTGGAGAAGTGGAGTTCAATAAATGGATGGACATGTGATACTGAAATTGTTTACTATAAATGGCTCTTTGTTTGTAATCTAAAAATAAAGAGTTCCAGAACAAATGGCTGGAGTATTTAGGCCTCCAAACTGATGGTATATAAGGAAATAGATTTTCATCAAGGAAGCTAAAGCTCTTACTCCAACACTGGTAAATGGTGCCCTAGTTTCTTTTATCCTTTCACAAACAATATATCCCCAGGGCTAGTCCAAATCCTTATAGTTCTCTCTGAAATTACTTCACTTGGACTATTTTTCTTTAGCCTCTTTCCTTTCCAATCAGCTTCTTCCACACTTCATGAGAGCTAAGTTTTAAATTTCAGTCTGATTGTGTCGTGCATTTGCTTAATGTCCACCAATGTCTGCCTGTTCTGTATCCAAACTTCTTCAAAAGGCACATGATGTACCCACCCACTTCTGTAGCTTCAACTTCAGCAGAAACCTAAACCTTACTTTAATGCCCCACAAAAGTAAGGTGTTTTGTTTGTGCATCTCTCTGGGTTAATTGACTGTTTTATTTTATTTTAGAATATTTCTATTTATTCAGTAAATCACTGATATTTAAGGTTGTGTGTCAACTTGGCTGTGCCATGATCCTCTGGTTTGGCAGCTATGATGTACTCAACTCATAACCCATGATGAAAATGATATAATGTAGTAACATTCATGATGATATCTGCTATGAAGAGTTAATCAGTTGAAAGAGTTTCCTCAGGAGTATGACCTGCATGGAACATGTATGGACATTCTGGAAAAGCTCTCTAGCTTTTTGTGTTCACTCTGGGATTTGCATCCAGCCTTCATCATCTTACCTCTGGTTCTTAGAACATGAATCAGCACCCTGCCACACTGTAGGCTATTGTTGAAATTGGATTGCTTCCATAGTCTGTGAGTCAGCAGCCTGACATCTTACCTATGATCTTAGGTTTATCATCCTCCACAACACATGACCTAGTAGCTTGCTGTCTGACTTGCTGATTTTGGGTTTGTATCTACCTGAGTAAAGAGAAACCTCTGTTCTGACATATAAGCCATGAAAACTTGGGACTTACCAATCTCTATAACTGCATAAGTCATTTCTTTTGGATGTCATGAGGGGACTTCAAAAAATTTGTGAAAATGGAATTAAAAGATCATGAATTTTTTTCACAAACTTTTTGATACCCCTATATACTATTTATATATTA